GTCTGTGGGGGCATCTCTTGGGCTGCAAGTTCATTAGTTGTAACATTATTGGCCCCCGCTCCAGCTGGTCTATAGGGGAAGAAATGACAAATTTTAAGGGGATATTTTATTTGACAACATGGCGGCACTACGCCTTCCACACTTGGCGTATTACAGTATCTCCCAGAATTATTTTATTGTGTTTTGATTACAAGAATTAATTTTAAGGGCTGCTTTTAATTTTCAACTGTTCAAAGCATTGTTGACTTTCCACACTTTCGAAGGCGCGATTTTATTGCGTGCTACATGAAAGCAGAGCCGCGCCTCGGTCGCAGCAAAAACATCGCAATTCCACAAAAGTAGAGAACACCTACAATACCTGTGTGGCCGATTTCGTTATATTTCTTTTTAGTCCTCTTCCCTTTCTTCTACCTGGTGACTCCTGAAGAACGGATAACATGAAAAAGTCTTAGCTTTGACCGAATGGCCATGGCCGAATCGAATATGCATTCTTCGCGGTCGTGCCAAATACAATCGCGGAAACGACAACAAAAGCTTTTTCACTGAGAGATAAAACCACCAATCTTACCGTTGTTTCGTTCTGTAACTCCTGATCATCTCCTGAATTTGCCATCGTAGGACAATAAAGCCTTGACTATACCCTCGCTAAAAATCTATCGAACCAGGTATTTCGCCCGGGAGTCACGGATCTCGTTGGTTCGTCATTCCCCGAGCTTGGCACGCGGCTCTAGCGGAACATCGGACGCAAACAAATTCCAGCCAATCAAATTTTTTCATCTCACAGGTACCCCAAGCAACATAGCCCACGTTCGATAGGTTAAAATTCTAACATGACTCCGAAGCTTTAGGGTCAAAATTGCAAATTTGTCTCGCAATTCCAAGAAGAGACTTGAGCACTAAGAAAACCAAACAAATACAGAAAAATGACCAGAAAGCCTCGGAGTCATGATAAAATTTTTCCGAAGAGTTTTCGTTTTTCTCACCCATGATTTACGAACCTTAAGTGTTTTGTGCAAAGGTAGGCCAACATACTTCTCGATCGTGTAAAATTTTTAAACTTTGCTATTTTTGATTTAAAAAAAAAATGATTCTTTGTACCCTTTACTCTGTTTACCCTTCAAGCAGAGGCCCTTTGATCTTCCAAGAAAAGTAAGGCGGAAGAGAAAGGTAGGTCCCTTTGTTCGCGGGGTATTTGCCCTTAGAATAGAAACACAAACCTGATTCAAGGACCTGATTCTAAACCTGATTTGTACAGTAACATTACTAACATAGGTAGGGTTAGATACATTCAAACTTTTTATATAAAATGAAGAGAGCCAAATCGTGCTGTTTTATCCAATACAAATTAAGAAGAAGAAGATGGGCAGGCTTGTCCGTCCGAAATATCTGAAAAACCTCAAGTCGCTTTTCTCTTTGCTGTTTTGTTATTGTCTTTATTTTTGTCTACTATACATTATGTTGGCATTATTTTGGGCATAATGCTATAGTAGGAGCTCCGAGTGTAATGCCGGCATAATGATCGTTTTTTCAGCATACTGAGAGAATGTAGCCTAAATTTGATTCGATTACTTCGAGTCGTTTTTACTCCCTCAGTAACTAAGGGGAGAAAACGACTCGAAGTAATCGGATGAAATTCAGCCTAAAAGAGAATGATAATATAAACGCTAACATTTCCGTAACTGTACTGGGAAGTTTTCGCGTTTCATTTCATTAAAGATTTTTTAAAAAACGTATTCAAACTGGTTGCTACCTTTAAGTGGGAAGGGGGTAAGTTTAACTTTCCACCTTTCCACTTTTAACACACACAAACGCTATTATTTGTTGCTACCTTCAACGCCTGGTTGCGCTGTTGCATCATTTTGCATGGCGACTATAAATTTACAAAACCTAAAATAATTATATATTGGCATAATTCTACAAATGTACAATCACTGCTAGTAGTATTATGCTATTTTTGCGAGCACAATCTATCAAAGCCTATTTAGATACGCCAGGCTCATCTAACTGTAAACAAAAAGTATATTCCATTATGAGCCTCCTCGGATATAAGTCCCCTTCAAATGTATTGGAATAAATTCGATATACTATGGTTTTGAAGCTTGATTAAAAACCAGTAAATGCAAAAAGGCATTTCGATCATGATTGCTATAGTGCCATTTCTATTCCTATCATAAGCCCGCCTCGGAGACAAACCCTTTGTTTATAAGCCCTGCTAAAACCCCTTACAAAGATGAAAAAGAGCAGGGCTTATGAGCGACAGTTTACATTATTCAAGTGTCTGATCAGATGAGTTCGTTATCATTTAAAGAAGAAAGTTTAGGACAGACGTCAAAAAAGGTGTTAATGAGCAGTAAAAATAAAGATACCTCAACAAAAATTTTCAATGAATAAAGAGATTACTTTAATCATTCCTTTCATCTCCCTTTCTTCTGAATGAAAGCGTGTGCACGCATTCAGACACCCTCTACAGTAACAACAAGTGGGGTCAACACGCTGGGTCATTGGGCCTGTTTACGTGGAGGTGGGGGACCTCAGGTAGGTGAGGTAACCCGCTTAGGTGAGGTAAACCGCCTGTCCATATAATCTCTCATTTTAATTTGATCACGTTTACATGATAGGTGGGGTAACCGCCAAATGTTATCTCACCTACCTGTGGTCCCCCACCTCCATGTAAACAGGTCCTTTGTTTGTTAAACGGTCAGGAAAAATTCCTTTTATCTAAAACAAATTCTTACAGTCGGCTTTTACAGTCTGCTCAGCCTGCGTGGCAGGCGTTTAAAAGGAGAGGGGAAGCGGATTCAGGGCGCGCGAGAGCCACGCAGGCTACAGTCGACTTGACAACTTAATCATAACTATCCATGGCCTGCCTCCTCCTCGGGCGATTCCTATTTCGCATAGAGGTGAGAGCGAAATGCGAGTAACTGGTGACTAACCGCAAGAGACAATGGAAAGGAAATGTGAGAGGTGAAGCCGTTTTCTCCTTCCTGTCTTCCTTCGCCCGTACTAACCTAGTCCCCAGGTCCTTTCCCTTCCAGCCCCTGCCCTTTACTAAGCGAAAAGACCTGGGGAGGAGCTTAGTGCGCACGGGAGAAAGACGTTTTTGAGCAACGCACGTCAACCGGACGTGAGGCAATTTCCCTTTTAATATACCTTGACGCTAGTAACTGTGAATTGCTAAGTGCCTTCACTCTTATAAAGACAATTCCCCTGAAAACTTAGGCGTAACAACTGTTCAAGAATGCAAAATTTCCACTTATGGTTGACGTTCGTCGCTCAAAAACCTCTTTGCTTAAATGGTCACTATTGTCATCGATAGAGAGAAGACTGCGGAGTACCACATGATGATTATGACATTGAATTAGCTACGATTTCCGTTTCTTCCGCCGCAAATCAACATTTTAGTATCCTGACTTTTTACATCATCTCTTTCCATTAAATAGTTCTGTATTTTAGAATGCGAAGTTTGCCTGAGTCACGCGGGGGGTCCAAGGTGACAAAACCTATTTTTAGTAATAGTGGAAAGCGCTATTCAACGGCCTCTTTGTTTATTTTAAACTTAGGGCCTGTTTACACGAAGGTGGGGGACCCCAGATAGGTGAGGTAACCCGTTTAGGTGGGGTAAAAAAGTAACCCTCCTTTACATGCAATCTTACAACCCCGCCATGCCGGGTACACTTTCTGAATGTAAACAAGAAAAATGCTGGCAAAACTCGTGTTTTGGCGATTAATGCTCTTCTACACTCACGAGCTGCTCTTGCTGCACCCTTCAGTGCTGTGGCTTTCTATTGCTACCTTTAATAATGATGCAAAGCCACCGCCAAAATGAATTTTGCGCGAATTTGATGTATTCCGAATCCGACCCCGGCTAGGCGGATTAACCCACCTTGAAATGTTTACATGGCAAAATTTGACCCCGGCTGAGAGGGTTACCCGGTCTGGCAGACCGGGCTATCCGCCAAGGCGGGTCACCCCACGTATCATGTAAGCGTGATCCAAGTAAAATGAGAGATTATATGGACAGGCGGGTTACCCCACCTAAGCGGGTTACCTCACCTACCTTGGGTCCCCCACCTCCATGTAAACAGGCCCTTAGTCTTGACCAGGTGTTTGGTTGAATTTGAAGTATATTTGAACAAAAATGGTTTTTATATCAAACAAGCTCATGAGTGGTTCATTTTCAATTTCTTTAAAAGACTTGCCTTTATTGAGGTTCCCGCGTTAAATAATTAAGAATTTTAAATACGGTATACATACCCTAGAGACAAATTAAATTTTTTCAATAATGAAACTGAGAACGAACTGACAAAGTCGGTTTGCTTTGGGTCTCGGCCACGATATCTGAAGGTTAAATCCTAATCTCAGGCTTTGCTTTAGGCAGATGCTAGATCACACAGGAACTATTGACTCACGAGACTAGATTATCATATGATCAGTTCGAAACTCTAAGAGCAAACTTGATCTCAGTTATTCAGTCTAGATCGTCATAATACTAACAACCAAAGGCACCATGCGCCCGTAAAGAAAATGTTGATAGTGGCTCTTAACTGTAATCCACTGCTGCTTTCGTGCTCAAGGTACATTGATGAACTGCAGTTCATCTGCAATAAAAAATATATATACATATTAAGAGAAGTCAAACAAGCCCCTACCAACCTTGTAGCGAGTATGTGCACTGATTAACCTTTAAGCATAATTTAACAGACTTTGTGACGTTAATGAAGGACACTGTCAGTAGTATATCCATTCCAAGGAAGAATGACATCATGGCTAAAACTAATCAGATGGGCATATAGGGTGTATTCATAAGATATTCGGTAATTAAAATATTATATACGATTAAAATGCCATTCTTGACTACCATGTACTATCTACTTACACAGTTTAACGTACAAGTTTTGTTCCGGCTTACTCAACGCATATAAAGTCAGTTCCCCTTAATATTGCGCACACTTTCAGACCCGTGAGTTGGTGCCCTTAATAGTGAGTTTATTTGAGGTGTAAGTATGAAGCGAGTTAGGTGTATAGACTGAGGAACAGTTTTGCTAATTGAAATATTAATTGCCCTGGAGTTTTTTTAAATATCATTTCGTTTGTGCTGGCCTTGTACAGCTGGTAGGAAACAAAATGATGCGCCTCTTTGAGGCCACACTACGGGCAGAGTGGAAATCAAAGGCAAATTCAAATTTACTGTGAACCAGATTAATTGCTTTGCCGTGCCTATGAAAAAATATTCTAACACAGGTTTTGGACTCAGTCTGCCACAAAGCCAAACAAAAGGCGGATAAAAGGGTTCTTATTAGAGCATCTCGGGATGCAGTCCAATCTCGAACCAACTGACAACTGAAAACTGACGAAATCATCTTATATTGCTTTTTCAGTTTAACAACGACATTAAAACACAGCACCTGTGAGTCTTCTTCACGCAGAGGGTCAACGCTTTCAAGAAGTAATCGAGAAATAAATCTTGCCGAGTAGCTAGATTGGTGAACTATATAAAGGATAAATGTTGGAAGATAGAGTCGCACCATACCCGCAACAACTCACAAGAAATGTTCAGAGAGATAAATACCGTGGGAAGAAGTTCCAGCCGCAACTTAGAGTTATCAAAGATAAGAACGGGACTATCCTTCCAGAGAATGAGGACATTAAACTAAGGTGGAAAGAATATTGTGTAGCCTGTAGACAGACGTTGTTTTATTTTTCTTTTCGTTCTATTCGAAAACATCGGCGAGCGCCTGAGCGAAACGGGCAAGAGCTAGCACGAAGCGCGTCTTCTTCTCCCACCCCTACTCCCTTGCACTGCCGGTCAGTAAATCCCCCGTAGTTTTTGTTTTTTATCACGCGAGCTCGACTGACTTTGAAGAAAAAATTGTGAGGATATGTAAAAGTGCGCTTAAGACACGGAGGAGGAATTAGAAGTTGAGCTTGTGGAAGATCTGAAAAGTAGGGAGCCGCTGAGAGAGGAGGTGGAATTGGCAATTAAAAAACTCAGTGGGCTCCTGTCTCATCACAGCAGAGATGATCAAAGCAAGTGGAGAACCGGGGATTGATTTCTACCACCATATATGTAAGAAAATTTGGCACCAAGGGAAGTGGCCGAAAGAATGGCTGAATAGATCGATCTTCACTCCAATACCTAAAAAAGGATATTTGAAGGACCGCACCAACTATCGCACAGTTTCCCTAATTAGCCACGCAAGTAAAATTATGTTTAAAATAATCAAAAAGAGACTAGAATCAAAACTTGAAGAAGAAGTGAGTGCAACCCAGGCAGTTTTCAGAAAAGGTTGAAGATGCGATGTCCCTTAGGATAAGCAGTTAGAGAGAGATTGGTGACGTTTTTACGGCAAAAAGACGCTCTCAGGGAGACTAATCAAGGTGAAGAAAAGGTGAGAACCTTTAAAACACACTCAAATCAGCTCTTATTTTAAAAAAATTAATCCAAGTTCGTTTATTTACCTACGGCTCTGATTTGGCCCCACTTTCAAGGCCCTTCTCTCAAATTAAAGCCGAACAATATCAAAGTAACATATTTCTCCTGAGTACCTAGCACTCCTAATGAGGCATTTTAAAAATACCTTTGTCAGTGTAAGAGTTTATTTCACCTGCTTGGTATTTGTCACTGGCGGAGTCCGAACACCTCGTAATCTGTGACAATGAAACTATTACCACCAGTGAAGAACGTGTTCGGTTGTCCTGGTGGGGACTGATAGGCGATGCCGAGACGGCTGCCACTAGGACTTGTGTTTGCATTATCTGATATATATAGGTCATAGATCTCACTGCCAAATACCGGTCCACAGGTGCTATTACAGTAGATGCCATATGTACCTGAGGTACGCGACAGTTTGGTCGGCTCCAGGCCACTTGGGTTTACAAAGCTGAACATGAAGGCATTGCGACAAGACATGCCCACCCATTCACAATCAGTAGGACCTGTGAATAACAGTGATTACACCTGACACATACAGCTATTTCAAAAAACGTTGTCGGAAGAAAAGCAAAAAATCTTCAAGCCAAGACCGCAAGGTAATAAGGGTTGTTTCAAATCTGTCTTTTGCTGGCAAACAATCACTCCACTAAACCGGTCGCTGATTTGTATTCGTCATTTATACTGAACCATACCTATCATTTTAGTTTTTAAAAAAGCACGAGGTAAAAATACGTTTCAGTCCAAGTGCACTCTTGCTTATTTCCGTCCTTGAAAGTAATTTTGTTCAGATAATTAGCAAGGAAAAATGACATTAAATTTTACATTTTATCAATTTGCATAACGTAGTAGCAAAGTGGGCGAAAAAAAAATATTATAAACAAACTTTTTTCCGAGTAATGGTTCCTACTCAAGAATTAATTAAAGCTCGCCAAAGTCTACTGCAGGTGATATTTTGTACTACACTGGTCAGCATGTGAGAATGTATGGACAAGCACATCGCCTGTATTCCGCCTCGTTCAATTTTTTAGACGATGGCGATTTCCCTGGAAATGAATTCTAAAGGACTAGTTTTAAGTTTACAAAAAAAAAAAAGAAAAGAAAATTGTGGTCTGCTGTTCACTTCCCCTATAAAACATGAGACATTTCAAGCCGTAGTTGGGCAACAACGGCCACGGACAAAAAAGTGTGATGCACGTGCAGTTGTTGTTTTGCTAAAAGCTATTGTAATTGTCCATGGTCTTTTTTGTCGCCATTGTACTTGCTTAAGCTCCCTACCGTTTGAAGGCTCTCCAACCACCTCTGTTTAAGGGTTGTCCAACGTTTAGAAATACTCTCACTTACAGAAAGACGTTCCATAGTGTTCTCAGGGATAAACATGAGTGGCCCCAAAACTCCAATAGGACCTGTAGCAGGTCATTACAAAAATCCCATATTACCTTTCGGTCTTGGCTTAAAGGCTTTTCTTCCGACAACGTTTTTTGAAATAGCTGTATATTCTGACATTATGTGTTAAACAGTCATTTTCACATTTCAATTTGAAAGTTCTTTAAATCTAAACCTTTCAAACATTTTCTGCTCCAGTCCACTTGTTTAATCCTGAACCAATATTGAACTCGGTTTTAAACCACGAAGATAACTAATATCATCTGATACCAGTCCTGGATGCTCCTTTGCATAGAATACGAAATTTCAGCCTGAGGCCATCTACAATACTTGTTTTCAATTCTACCGAAATGTTTTCCCCTGAGAAACGTAGAAATAAGTTTAGCCACCTATAAAGACGTCACCAATATCCTGCTCATGGACTTATCAACTTATCCAGCTAATTCAATGAGTATGATCTACGTAATCCTTTACACTGGTGTTTATCAGTTTATCAGTTAGTGTGACTTAACAAGGTACCCAAGTATGAGCAGTGTGCAAGCCATCAGAATAAAGAGGAAATAATAATTTAAAAATTAGGAAGGAAATCAACAAGGGTGAATGCACAAATGCCTGTCACACAGGCTATACGAATTCAAGGCCATTCATCAGGTGGTGAGTTACTCGATAAATCTAATTTGTATTTTAGAATCATATCAATTTATCTTACTTGTCCAAGCGTTCTCAGTGAAGCCTCCAAAAATGTTTTCACCACTTTTTACAACAGTGATTGTAGGCCCTTTGTTGTCGCATTTGAAATGAAACGCTAAAGCAGCAAAGCCATCTCGTGAAGCTCGGAATAGCAAACGCCATTCGCTTTTTATAGGCAACCAAGTTTTCAAGACTCTTCGATGCCCTTCGTTCGTCAGTATCACCGACTCCTCAAACTCTTTCGGTGCTGTACGTTGCAGTTCGTCCAATATCCCTTGCAGCTGATAAAACTTAGCTTCTGCTTCGAGTTCCTTGAGGAATGTAGCACCATCTGGCAAGATAAGTTCTCCGTTACGAAGATAATTTAGTATAAACCGGAAGTTAGTTCCGTCTCGGTCGATAAAGAAGGAACCGTCTTCAGTAGTCTGCACTTCATGCCTGCCTGAAAACATGGCTGCTAACATCGAGTTGGGATCTCTTGTTAGCGTTTGCAGGCTTGTGGTAAAGCGTTTACCTCCGACATTTAGTTTCACGATTGAAGGAAAGTAACGCAGCTGATTCGACATCACTTCCATGGGATCATCTAAGACACTTTCAGTAGGTTAGTACAGTCTATAGTTTCAAGTACTTTTCTCTCATATAAGAACAGTTTGTCCTATGAAAACTTAAAAATTGTGTTTAAGGTTTAAATAGTTGAGCGGTTCTGTGCAATACCCGCCCTGATACCAAAACTACAAAATCCGTTTGCGAAGCAACGTGTTTCGTGGGCAATATCAAAGGACAATTACGGGAGAGGTGGGTAAACTCGTTCCCATCCCTCTATTACGACCGGCTCGTATCTGGTACGTGACAGCTGGAAGCACGGTGACCCCTGTAACGTAACATCGCAACTTTTTACCTCGGTTTGGTAATCAGCAAGAGAGTATACGAACGACTTGTTTTGCTTTCCACCACTAAACATGCATGCTCATTTTTATGTTTTAGACAACGCCTGAGAAACAGAAAAACTAATATTCGTAACTTTTAAAGAATGCCGAAAATTTTCGTTTGCGCTTAAGCCCCCGCCCCCCCCCGCCCCCAGTTATGGACCCGTCTACCTGTATACAAAAAATACATCCGATTATGAGCAAGAGGCCCCCCGGACATTAGTACCCCTCCATATAATTATGTTGGAATGAATTCGATTTATTATGACTTTTTGACGCTTGATTAATTACCGGTAAATGCAAAAGGTATTTCAATCAGCACTGGCATAGCTTGTTTGGCAGTGCTTTTTCTATTCTGATTATAAACCCCCTCGGAGATAAACCCCTTCGTTTATAAGCTCTCCAAAAACATTCTTAAACCCCTAACAAAGATCTGAAAGCCCAGGGCTCATAAGCGACAGTTTACGTATCAAAGAGCAGTAAAAAAAAAAAGGATACCTCAAAAAAATTTTTCAGTGAATAAGGAGCTTACTTTAATCATTCCTTTCATCTCCCTTTCTTCTGAATGAAAGCGTGTGCACGCAATTCATGTTGTCACTTCAGACACCCACAGCAGTAACAACATGAGGGGTCAACATGCTCGGTGACCTTAAGTTTGTTTGTTAAACGGTGAGGAAGGATTTCTTGGATCTAAAACAAATTCTTACAGTCGGCTTTCACAGTCTGCTCAGCCTGCGTGGCAGGCGTTTAAAAGGAGAGGGGAAAGGGATCCCGGGCGCGCGAGAGCCACGCAGGCAACAGTCGACTTGACAACTTAATCATAACTATGCAAGGCCTGTTTCCTCCTCAGGCGATTCCTGTTTCGCGTAGAGGTGAGCGCGAAACGCGAGTGACTGGCGACGAAGCGAAGGAGACAATGGAAAGGAAATGTGAGACGTGAAGCCGTTTTCTCTTTCCTGCCTTCCTTTACCCGTCCCAACCTCTTCCCCAGGTCCTTTCCCTTTCCCGCCCCTGCCCTTTTCTAAGCAAAAAGACCTGGGGAGGATCCCAGTGCTCACGGGAGAAAGACGTCAGTTGAGCAACGCACGTCAACCGGAAGTGTGGCATTTTCCCTTTTAATATACCTTGACGCTAGTAACTGTGTATTGCTAAGAGTCTTCACTCTTATAAAGACAATTCCCCTGAAAATTTAGGCATAACAGCTGTTCAAGAATGCAAAATGTCCACTTCTGCTTGACTTTCGTCGCTCAAAAACGTCTTTGCTCTAGCTCCCTATTGTCGTCGAGAGAGAGAGAGACGTCTGGGTGCCTAATCCAGAAGACATTATATCGTGACTACGAGACATAAGACTCGGTACCACATGATGCATTATGACATTGAATACGCTACGATTTCCGTTTCTTCCGTTGCAAATCATCATTGTAGTAACCTGGCTTTTTACATCATCTTTTTCCATTAAAGTGATTTCCGTACTTTCTCAATTAAACGATCTCTGTATATTTTAAACTACGTCTTGACCCAGTGTTTGGTTCAATTTGAACAAAAATGGTTTTTATATCAAACAAGCTCCTTCGTACTTCATTTTCAATTTCTTTAAATGAGTTGCCTTTATTGAGGTTCCCGCGTTAACTTAAGATTTTAAAAAAAACGGTATACATACCCTAGAAACAAAATTTAATTGTTTCAATAATGGTATAATTAAGAACGGACTGACTTCGATATCTGAAGGTTAAAATCCCAATCTTAGGCTGTGCTTTAGGTAGATGCTAGATCATACAGGAACTATTGACTTACAAAACTAGATTATCATATGATCAGTTCTAAATTCTAAGAAAACACTGGATCTCAGTTATTCAGTCTAGATCGTCATAATACTAACAACCAAAGGCACCATGTGCCCGTAAAAGAAAATAGTGATAGTGGCTCTTATATTTAATCCTCTGCTACTTTCGTGCTCATGTATACTGATGAACTGCAGTTCATCTGCAATAAAAAAGAAGACAAATACTTAGAAATGTCAGACAAGCCCCTACCAACCTTGAAGCGAGTAAGCGCAAATTAACCTTTAAGCATAATTTAACACACGTTGTGACTTTAATGAAGGACACTGTAGTATATCCATTCCAAGGAAGAATGACATCATTGCTAAAACTAATCAGATGAGCATGTAGGATGTATTCATAAGATATTCGGTAAATATTATATGCGATTAAAATGCCATTCTTGACTACCATGAACTATAGCTTAGCGTCCGAGTTTTGTTCCGGCTTACTCAATACAGATACAGTCAATTCCCCTTAATATTGCGCACACTCTCAGACCCGTGAGTAATTGCGCTTTACAGTGAGTTTATTTGAAGTGTATGTGTGAAACGACAGTTAAATGTACTGAGACTGAGGGACAGTTGTCAGTTGCTAATTTAAATATTAATTGCCCTGGAGTTTTCAGTTATGATTTCTTCTGTACTGCCCTTGTACAGCTGGTAGGAAACACATACAAGACAAGTCAGAACAAAATGATGCGCCCTTTTGAGGCCATACTACGGACAGAGTGGAAACGAAAGACAAATTCGAATTTCCCGTAAACCAGATGAATTGCTTTGCCGTACCTATGAAATGCTATTAATGGCCTATGGTTTTGGACTCACTCCCACCAAGTCAAACGAAACGCGGATAATAAGGTTCTTTTTAGAGTATCTTGGGATGCAGTCCTATCTTGAACCAAGCAACTGACACATTCACCTCAGTATAGTTTTTTGTCAGTTTAACAACGAAAACAAAATACGGCGCCTGTAGTGACATGTTCAAATGTCCTGAGAGTCTTCTTCTCGAATAGGGTCAACGTTTTCCTTAAGTAATAGGCATAAACGTTAGATTGGTGAGCTTTTTACTACAAAAAGTCCCTCTCTGGGAGACTGGTCAAGGTGAGAACCTTTAAGTTATAATTAATTCGGCTCCTATTAAAACAAATTTTAAAGCCAAGTACATTTACGGCTCTGATTAGGCCCTACTTTGCACCTCTCTTAAGTTAAAGCCCAACAATATCAAAGTAACATATTTGTCCTGAGTACCTAGCACCCCTAATGAGGCATTGTAAAAAAAGCTTTATGTTACAATGTTTGGAAAAAGCATGGAGTATTTTAGCTGTAAGAGTTAATATTTCACCTGCTTTGTTGGTAGTCATCACTGGCGGAGTCCAAACACCTCGTAATCTGTGACAAGGAAACTACTTTCACCTGTGAAGAACGAGCTCTGTTGTCCTGGCGGGCACTGATAGGTGTGGCCGAGATTGCTGCCACTAGGACTTGTGTTTGCATCTTTTGATATCCTTAGGTCATTCCCACCACCAAACACTGGTCCATAGTTGCCATTACAAAAGATGGCATAATTTTCATTCCCAGAGATGATTGACAGTTTGGTCGGTCTCAGGCCACTTTGGTTTACAAAGCTGAACAGGAAGGCTTGCCTACATGACACCCATTCACAACGATCTGTGAATAACAGTGATTACACCTGACATATAAATTCAGACATTATGTGTCATACAGTCATTTTTACATTTCAGATTCAAAGTTCTTTAAATCTAAACCTTTCAAACACTTTCTGCCCCATTCCACTTCTTTGATCCTGAACCTAAGCTAGGTTGCCCCTGAGAAACGTAGAAATAAGTTATAGCGACCTATAAAGAAGTTGCCAATATCCTGCTCATGGACTTACCCTGGTTAAATGAGTCACAGGCTACCCAGGCTAAAAATGAGAGTAATCATTAATACATGTGGTTTCATATTGCATAATCCTAAAAATGGCCGTGAATATAAAGGATTTGTATGGGAATTCAGGTAAAAGATTCAAGTTTACCTGAATTCCCATACAAATCCGTTATATTCACGGCCATTTTAAGGATTATGCAATAAGAAACTACATGTATTAATGATAAAAACTCTCATACTGAGCTTGCGCCGCCTGTGAATGAGTATGATCCCGACCTATCCAATCGAACAGTTTGGCAATCGAACCCAATCGAAAACCAATCGTTCGATTGCTGAACTCAATCGAACATAATCGAATTCACAATAAAATTTTGCCAATCGAACGTTCGATTACCGAACGATTGGTATAATCGAACGTTCGATTAACGGACGCCGCATCGCATCATACTAATTTTAAACCCAACTGCCTGTGTTGCTGTTGTTGAAATGGTGCGATTTTTCTCTGTTGAGAAGCATTTCCTTTTAACAGTCACAGTACCTTAACAGTCATCGAAATTGCCTTTTACTTGTTTTGTTTTGTTCGAACATTGACATTCTTGCAGTATGATGTTCAGTTCCTGTTTATTCAATAAAAGCTGACAATGATTATATTCCACGTGTTTTACTCAGTTTGAGGCGACAAGAGACAATTGCATTGGATTAGTTCGATTTTGTTCGATTATATTGGTTCGATTGGTTCGAAAATCGAACTCACAGCAAAATAGGTGTTCGATTTTGTTCGATTGCCCAACCCAATCGAACGATTGGAGTTCGATTGGGTTCGATTGGTTTTTTGTTCGGTTTTGTTCGATTGGATAGGTCGGGGTATGATCCATGGTGATCTAAAACACTGGCTTTTAAGTGTGGCTTTATATGTACCCAAAATGTAGAGGAAATAATAATTTAAAAATTAGACAGGAAATTAACAAGGGTGATTAATGCACAAATGCCTGTGACACAGGCCATACGACATGCATAAAATTTGTCTCAACCATTCATCAGAGTTAATTACTCGATAAAAAGGCTAATTTGTATTTTATAATCATATCAGTTATCTTATATTTACTTGTCCAAGCGTTCTCAGCGAAGCCTCCAAAAATGTTTCCACCACTTTTTACAACAGTGATTGTAGGTCCTTTGTTGTCGCAAGTGGAATGAAACGCTGAAGCAGCAAAGCCATCTCGTGAAGCTCGAAATAGCAAACGCCATTGCCCTTTCATAGCCTCAGGCAACCAACTTTTCAAGACCCTTGGATGCTCTTCGTTCGTCATTATCACCGACTCCTCGAACACTTTCGGTTCTTTAGGTTTCAGTTCGTCCAATATCCCTTGCAGCTGATAAAACTTAGCTTCTGCTTCGAGTTCCTTGAGGAATGTAGCACCATCTGGCAAGATAAGTTCGCCGTTACGAAGATAATTTAGTATAAACCGGAAGTAAGTTCCATCTCGGTCGATAAAGAAAGAACCGTCTTCAGAAGGCTTCATCTCAAACTTGCCGGAAAACATGGCGGCAAGCATCGAGTTGGGATCTTTTTTCAGCGTCTGCACACTTGTGGTGAAGTGCTGACCACCAACGTTGAGCTTAACAGTGGATGAAAAGTGAACCCGGTCTAGTTTCTTCGACATCGCATCGATGGATTCTTGCTCCTGTCGAAGTCTACTTGTTTCTCGCTTAAGGATCTCACACGCTTCTTTTATGCGATTTTCAGCGTCTGTCAAGGCTTGATTTTCATGTTGGTGTTCAGGTTTTTGATTGCTCATGTTTCCTAGTTCAATGAATTAAAAAAGACAAGAGAGCGAGCTGGTTATTGAGCACTTGGTGACGTATCCTTTAGATAAAAGTGAAACCAGCGAATCATGATTTTTCTTCTCAGGGAGGGGACGGGTGATTGCAGAATGTCAACTGCAGTGTCTTGCAAGAAAAAAACATATATCTAGGCCCACCTTGAGGCTTCCTGTTGAGGCAGAAGATGTCGAAGGGAAAAAGGGGGAAAAAGGAAAAAAATAAATTCTGTTACACAAAAGATCTCTCAGCTACCAGACCCCTCCCAACGTCGTTCCCAGGGTTCTCTCCTACCCGCTCTACGGAGCGAGAGAGGGCAGGTAGGAGAAAACCCTGGGAACGAGGTTGGACCTTTGGACCCCTCCTTGGTAATCTGGCCGTTGTTCCCTTTGCGGTAGGGAGTACGGCGATAGTGGATCAATAACTCCTGATTTCTAGAAGTCTATTTGGGAGCGCCCGTTTCTCCAAATCGGACCAAAAGGTAAATAATAAAATCACGATCGAATCTTACCCAGAATAATATTACAGTCGACGTTTCTTTGTTAACTTAAATTTCGTGAGTGAAAAATTAAACTAGAGCGCACATACAGCTATTTCGAGAAAGGTTGTCGGAAAAAGTGCACGCGACAATCCCGAAAGGTATTGTGGGTGGTTTTGAGTTCACCGTTCTTCAAAGAAATTTGAAAGATTGGCGAGAGAGGTCATGGACGTATGTTTGCGAGTGCTAAAGGAAAGCAACAAAAGTAGGTTTGACAGCTACAGTGTCAGAAACGGTGTATTGATCATATCCCAAATTACCTTTCGGGATTGTCGCGTGCACATTTTTTCCGACAACCTTTCTCGAAATAGCTGTATGTACTGTCGCACTTTGTAATACCTGTCGCACTTTGTAATAAAATTGTCACACTTTGTAATAACTGTCGCACTTTGTAATAACACTTTGTCGCACTTTGTAATAAAAAAGCTGTCGCACTTTGTAATAACAGACCATCGCACTTTGTAATAAAAAAAGCTGTCGCACTTTGTAGTAAACTTGAAATAGATGGTCGGAGGACAAGTAAACCCAGTAATAAGTGTCATCATCGACAACAACAACAACAACAACAACAACGACAATAATAATAATAAGTGCTCACATCAACTTCTGGTTTCAAGATCTTTCTAGGGAAGTACAACTCTTTATATGCGGACGACCTCGATAGAGAGAAAGTGTTTAAGCCTATGACAGGGAGAGACGTTTAAAATGGGAGTTTGTATTGGAATTTCATTTAATTAATTGTTAGTAAAAGTAATTAAAGGTGTCCTTCAGGCGAAACGAGATCGTATAAGCAAAATATTTTTAAAGTTTTACTACTAGCGCAGGCAACTAGAAAACCAGTGATTTCGTTACCTTCGAGGTATAACTTAAGACATATACAGAGATATTACTTGATTTGTATTTATTACCATGAATAAGCTATACTGTATTTCATAAAACCAAATGAAAATCACAAACTCAGAGCACAACCCGTAATAGTAGTCTTTACACAAATATACCACAAAACGAGGGCATTGAAATTGTCTGCAAAGCATATGAAAACTTCTACAAAGACAACCCCCCTATTCCTACATATTACTCGCGGGAAATGTTTAGACTAATCCTCAAAGAAAATTCTTTCCAGTTCAGTGGAAAACACTACGTACAAACCCATGGCACTGCAATGGGTACAAAGACAGCAGTTTCTTTTGCCAATATTTTTATGGCACATATTGAAACAACAATTCTAAGCACAACCGTTTTTAAGCCTGCAGTTTGGAAACGTGAAGATACATGACGATATCTTTTCCCTTTGGGACAATAGTAAACCAGACATGGAAGCCTTCATCGAACAAGCGAACTTACATCACCCAACTATCAAATTCACAGCCGAAATATCTGATACTGAGACTGTGTTTTTAGACACAGTTGTATACAAAGGCACAAGATTCAAGGAAAAAAACTATCCTTGATGTAAAGACACATTTTCAAAAAACGGAAACCTTCCAGTACACACATTTTACCTCTTGTCACCCGCCGAGTGTTAAAAAAGGATTTGTCAAAGGAGAAGCCTTGGGAATCCTACGAACAAACTCCTCAAAAACTACGTTTGTGGAAAATATTTCAAATTTCAAAAAACGCTTGATTGACAGAGGCTACCCACAAACTATAATAGAAAACCTTCTACCAGATATAAAGTTCACAGAGAGGGAGTCTGCTCTCCTGAAACACAACAACAAAGAGGAAAAAGAAATATTGCCTTTCGTGACACATACCAGCCCTAAGTATCTACTTTTAAAGAAGTTTTAATGAAAAACTGTAATCTTATACAAAACCAACCGTTACTTCGCCAAATTTTCAAAGAACCACCTATCATTTCCTACAAGAAAGGAAAATCCCTAAAGGACATGCTCGTTAGAGCTAAAATATAAAAGGTTTACACAAGGTTTCAAATCTCATAAACGGACCACAAATTCAACAGGAATACGCGCGAACTGAACAAATTGTCTGTTTAAAGGTTCTGCTCAACTTACACAATTTTCCCTTGCTGAACATAAACTGTACCGAGCCGTATCTTGGTCCGCTATGTATAAGCTATATCATGGTTCAAATTTTAAACTGTAAGATCCCTGAAAGAGTTATCCTCAATGGAGCAATATGTAAAAGGTTTTCAAAGGTTTAACGTCGGTGAAGATGTTCGGCCTGTCACCTCTTGCAAGTTTTTACCATTTATTTCAAGTTTATTACAAAGTGCGACAAGTGTTATTACAAAGTGCGACAGCTTTTTTTATTACAAAGTGCATGCGATGGTCTGTTATTACAAAGTGCGACAGCTTTTTTATTACAAAGTGCGACAGGTGTTATTACAAAGTGCGACAGTTATTACAAAGTGTGACAGTTTTATTACAAAGTGCGACGATTATTACAAAGTGCGACGGTACACATATACCAAGTATAAATTACAGACTCGATCTTTGGGGTTCTTAAAATATGCGTGTGTTCAGAAAAGCCCAAGAATTTTACTTAAGATGTTTTGTTTCTAATTTCCGATTATTTTTGAAATATCTTTTCCAACTGTATTTCTAATAACTCAAGAAGCAATAAACCAGTGCCACAAGCTGCCTTTCCCATTTTCACAGAGGTTGCCACCCTTATTACACTCAGGGGCGTAGCGTAAGATACCCTGGGTGCCAGAGACTTTTCTAGCGCGGTTTCGGGTTTCTGTCAAGTCTTTATAGCAGGGCGGATAAAGGTTGGGCGGTGAAACGAGCGCTCCGCTCTTCATTTAATGTGTGATGCGGAATAGGACTGGCACGAGCGCTCTTTCCGCGCTTCCGGTGCGCTTGAAGGCCGGAGAAATTTTCCTTTTTGCAAACCGGAAATCCTATTTTCTTTCTGTAATTTCAGGCTACAATGTTAAATAGATAAATTCGTTTCATAACAATATCAATAAACAGTTTCATATGTTTGTGTCTGTACGTCTATAAGTGAAACTTGTTGGTCGTATAATGCCAAAATTTGAGTTTAATTTGAAAGTGTTGAATACCTCCTCCTTCCACTAAATATCACCTAATCGTCTTTCGCCGTTTCGTTTGCAAATAATAATAATAATAACAATCTTTTAATAGGATGCTCCATCACAAGAGTGGTTTACATAGAGGTCCTAATTACGAGATGTATATTATATAATACAATTAAAATATAAAAAGGTTAAAAAAAAAAAAAAAAAAAAAAAAAAAAAAATTCAAGCTAAAATCGAGTTACAGAAATAATTAAAACATACACACTACAAGTACTCAATTATAAAAAGCAGAAAAAAGACACTTCTTAAAAATTGGAAAACTTGCTGAGTTTCTTACAGTTCTCTCTAATTCATTAAAGTCTTTGAAACAGTGGTACCGCGAACGTTGTTTTCCCCAATTATATTTAATTTTGGGGAGCTTGATAGTATCGTTATTGCGCGTATTGTAGGAATGTATATCACTCTTTTTACAATGTCCAAAGAATGATTAAGTTGGCCATTAATACACTTGTATGCATATATACATCGATGACATTTCCTACGTTCTTCAAGATTCAGCCATCTCAAGACAATCAATGCATCGGTGGATGAGGGTGAGGTGATCTATCTAATATCAACTTAGCTGCTTTGTTTTGGAGAATTTGCAATTCCTTCATAAGTGAGACATTGTCCTTGTCACCCCAGACTAAATCAGCATAATCAAAAATAGGTAGCACTAAGCTATTATAAAAAAGTAACCGGGCATCATAAGGTAAATAATACTTAATCCTACGTAGAAGACCAAGGTTTTTATTAACCTTACATGAAATATACTCAATATGGTCGGACCATGTGAAAGTTGAAGACAACATAACTCCCAAATATTTAAAACTACTTACAGAATTTATATCAGTGTCAAAAATAGATAACGTGAAAGAGGAAATACCAACAAGTTTCCTATTACTGCCTAAAATCATGGATTTCGTCTTAGTAAGATTTAAAGTTAACTTATTTCCATGTAACCACTGGGCAACTTTCAAGAGATCATCATTCAGTGCCTCTTCTAACAGGTGTGGCTCTTTAGCAAAGTAGTACAGGACCGTGTCATCAGCATACAAAGTCACTTCGCAATTCTTTATAACCAGCGGAAGGTCATTAATATAAACCAAGAAGAGAAGCGGTCCTAGAATGCTTCCCTGTGGCACCCCAAAGGTCAT